CAACAGCAACAGTGTAGGTGGGAGGTGTACCGGTAGTTGATTTGAGCTTTATAAACTGAAAATTGAAACCTGATGGTATTCTCTTGTTAAATTACCTTCAGTGACATGACTACATGTACTTTGTAAGCTACATTAATAGTATTTGGTTTATCACAGTTTTGACTGGATTAATTGATTGTCTAATTCTGGACACTTTTCTGGTATTCTAGTGTATATTCAGACCACTAAACCATGTACCTCCTGCTGTTAAACAAAGCATATCAGATGTTGATCGCATGATTTGGTGCTGCGCTGTCTGCCAGTTTTAGTTACAAATGCATTACATGATGCGTACTATTATTAGTTGACATTTCCCCTGCTGTGTTTTGGCGATAACTATGAGTTTACATTTACATATACATGTACTTCTTTTTGGCATACTTTTTAGGTGCTATAATACAAAAATATGATGAGAACAGGGAGTCCTATGCGGCTTGGCCATGCAGAAAGTCCAGTTGTTGAGAAGACCTTGGATAGAAGATTTTCCACTAAGAATGCAAGACTAGCTCTGTCTTGGGGTATTGTCAATTTCTTGGTTGCAGCAATTTGCTATATTGAGTTGTAAGTGTTTTTTAATGGTTATGTTTTATCCTAGATTTTAGAGTTGTTTGTTTTTAACTGTACATTACCCTGTACTTAACCTTGTCCTAATCCATTCTCTCTAGAACGTTTGGTTCGATTGCCAGATTTTTCGAGATAGATCATCCAGCTATTTGGTATATAGAATTGTTCTTGGCAACTTTGTTTACTTTAAATGCTGTAGTGGACTTTGCTAGATATCTTGGACCTACCACAGGACTCACTCAACAACCAATAGCACTATCCCCTCAACAGAGAAGATTACTTGGTGTTGGTCCCAATGGTGAGAGCTATTTTATGTATGCAATATTGTATATCCAAGAAAATTGAAATCATCAGTCTATGCACTGAGGTTGTATAAAAACTGCTGCTCATCCCTGTCACTGAACTTCTTACACTATTAGCTACAAAAACTGTCAAGTTCTTCTAACATTTGTGTTATGTGATTTGGTAGTGTGAATTATGTTGCAGATCTAGTGAAACTGTCGTTTATTTATTTATTTATTCATTTAAATTATAATCAACTTTGTCATTCAAACTTTAAGATTAGTTTACAAGTATTTAAAACATTCAGTGATTTGAAGTTACAAGTTTCTAAATGTTTGTTATTTCAGCTGTGGGATTCAGGACAAGTCCATCATCATCACATCCATGTACACCACCATCAACTAGTAAAGTAACATCATTACCAAGTTCTATGACAGTGACTACAACCAGTCCCATGGCATCTCCAGCTTACTCATCATTGTACAGTACGCCTAGTGTATCTTTTCTCAACCCATCAGGCTATTCTGGTTCTTATCCAAGTACACCGTACCTCACACATTCAGCATCTTATTCCACTACACCACAACATTCCTCATTCACTTCAGTATCAAGGGTGAGTTGTATTCTGGCTTTGATAACATTTTTGTTCTGTGCTTTTTTAAAAGTTGATTGCCATTTATGAACCCCCTATATCAACGACTCTTACACGAAAAGACCACACACACTCCCTGATCAGTATGTTTCACTAGATAGAGCTGCTTTTACTTTTCATTAAAATCTACTTGCTATTATTTATTCAGATTGACTAATTATTAGTCCCCGTTCGGACGCAGTCCGAAAACGGGGACTTATGAATAATGCCCTGTGTGCGTCCGTCCGTCCGTGATCACCTGTATCTCGAACATGC